GCAGTTACAGGCATGCCCCACGACATTCAATGCAGTTGCTACATACATCTTAAAAGTAAGGCATAGCAGATAACGTTTTAATAGGTTAGTTCATCTTACAGTACTTGAAGGACTGGTCCATGACACCTTTGGGTGTAAAACCCAGAGACACTCCAGGCCTTTGGGTAAAGTGGTTCAGTTACAGCACAGAGCCTATCGGCTGTCTCCAGTTTGTTCAAAACCTAGCACAGGGCACACCCCTGCTCTAGGAGGTCTGTAGGTGTTCGGTTCAGAGATGGCTTACACTGAACTGTAACTGACCAAACTTATGTGGAATTCAAAGGTACGAGCACCAACTGTACATGTGTGGCATCCATGCACTCAAACACTACATTTTGGAACGTGGCAGAACTTTTAAAATTAGAAATGTTTTACTCCTTCCTCCCTTCTTTCCTCCTCCTTTTCCTCTTCTTTTTTATTAGTAGAAGGCTTCTTCCTTCTTTTTTTTTCTTCTTCTTCTCCTCCTCCTTCTTTTCTTTTTGGTTTTTCAAGACAGGGTTTCTCTGTGTAGCCTGGCTGTCCTGAAACTAGCTCTTGTAGGCCAGGCTGGCCTCAAACTCACAGAGATCCTCCTGCCTCTGCCTCCCAAGTGCTGGGGTTAAATGTGTGAGGTTCTTAATCTGATATTTTGTACATTTCATCTCAACCCAGATGATAATTTAATCAAATATTTCGCTTATACTTTTAGTTTATAAAATCTACAGTTGAAAAGTAGATTATTATCCCTGAGATCCAGCAACAATAGGTTTATTAACTTTTCAGTTTAGATACATTTAATTAAGATTAGACTTAACATTCAGCCACTCATGCCAAGTGTTGGTACAGGCCGGAAGTCCCACACTCATCATGCAGAACCAGCAGGGTCTGTGTGTCCTAGGCCAGCCTGGACTACATGGGAAGTGTTAGCTCAGACTGGGCTATGCCATGGGACCTTGTCTCGGTAACTAAATAAATAAAATTTAGGTATGCTAGATATAGTTCAAGTACTTAATGCTGTGCATTGCCAGGCACTGCTCTATCAGACAATGAGCCCCTGAGCATGGAAAGGGACTCAGCAGAAGAATGGAAACATGCTCAACAGGGTAAGTAATGCGGGGATGCATCAGATATGACACTTCAGATATGGTAAGAGACAGCATGAGACACACCCAGATACTAACAACAACAATAAAAGCAGTTATAATGGGCTCACAACAGAAGCCGGAACGCTGGAGAGACAGAAAAGAGCATGTGTAAAAGACGCTGATGCCCAAATATGCCTAGAAGGGTGGGACAAAACGCTCTCAACAGGACGGCCGTGGGTGGTACCGAAAACATCCACCAGCATGACAGAGGGCATTCTCAGAAGACTGCCAGACAGAGGAGAGTTTCACTGAGGATGGATTTGAGCTGCGTTTTGGGAAGACTCACTTGATATTGATGTGGATGAGAGAGAGACAGACAGGCAGACAGACAGGAAGGAAGGAAGGAAGGAAGAAAGAAAGGAAGAAAGGAAGACAGAAAGAAAGACAGAACTTGGCTGCTACATGACCAACTAGCTACTGCACTAGCCCAGACAACATACACCCAGGAAATGGTGCAGGTCCTGGGAAATGGGACTGTGGATTTGCCTGCACAGGGACCTCGGGATTTGATGAGTTCCAGAAAGATCTTTGCACGAGAGGAGGCTTCAGAGGCTCTGAAGCAATTCCACTGAGGGGAACCAACGAGCCTGGATGGAGAAATGCCATCTCTAGCGCTCCGTACAGCAATGTTCATAGTGAAGGTTGGAACATGACCATGTGGGTGAGGCAGGCCTTAGGGCAGACATGAAAAGAAGCGGCTTGGCTGGTAGCGATTCAGTACGCCAGTCAAGGGTCTGGGCAATGGTGTGACGGCAGCCGGCAGTCTTCACACTGCCTGGGATCTGCACACATAGGGAACTTAGGTGACTGTACGTACACACTAAGACACCGTATAAAAGGGCTGGGTATCCCCCCTCTGGGGCGGGGGATCTGGAGCCAATCCCCGGTGGACACCAGGAGACAGCTGCATACTATTCCGACATGGGGGTGGGGAGCTGACACAATTTAGTCTGGTACCGTCTCTCAGGAAGCAACACAGCCGTCAACACTTGCTCTTCAGCTTATATCAAAGGAAAAAGGCAAGTAATAGAGATGCACTGTCTAAAAACTCCTAGACGAAGCTTCCAGTTTATTCTTGAAAGGCTGGTTATCTACCACACACCCCAGAAAGGGGGTGTGAGGCTCAGAGCTGGCTGTCATCGGGCCTAGATCACCACTAAGACTGACATAGCAGCTCCACAGTTTATAGACTTTGCTTCTGTGGTTGTTTTTAGCTTATAAATAATAGCACATCCGCCATGCTCAGGGCCCAGAGTTCTGTCTCATGTATCTCAGAACCAAACAACATGTGCTTGTAGATTCTGAATCATGGCTGAGAAGATGTATACCAAAGTGCTTTCTCTGGATGTCAGTCACAGTGGTACACGCTTGGAGGTGTACCCGCTCTCAGGGGGTACTGACAGGAAGGTGTGGCAGCCTCAGCTATGAGAAAGTCCAAGGCCAGCGTGGGCTAGATGAGACCCTGCCTTGAAGACCACAGCAAAGAAAAATAAAAGCCACCTCTGGGTCATTTTAATTTTCTGACTTGCAAGCTTTTTATAGTCTAAAATAAATGCACAATGTTTTCATAGAAAAAGTGTCATAAGAGGACAGGACCGAGGACACAGGCAATTTCTGTCCCTGCAAGGTCAGAGGTGGCAGGCAGGGCTGAGGGGCAGTCTTTAAAGAGGCTGGCTCCAGTCCCTTTGTCTCTGTGGGTCTCCTGCGCCTACCTCTGCTGCCCCTGAAGCTGTGTCCGCTTAGCTTTCTTTGTGTGATTTCCATTCCGCACAGCTGTAAAGGAAAGTTGAGGCAGGCCTCCATGAGAAGACAAAAAGCCTCTGTAGCTTGTGGGATGGAAAACTTCATGGGAGAACATGGGTCTCTGTTGTCAGAGAATTCAAATGCTGGAGAAGAGAGATTCTGAAGGAAACAAAGAGCAGAGTGCCCTCACTCTGGCAGGGGCCCACTAGTAACTTCATATTACGAAGGAAGGACGGGATGAAGAACAAGGTGTCCCATTCACTGAAAGCTCCTGCCACCGCGGGGTCTCAGGCCCTGCCAAGCCTTTCACAGAGGTGGAAACAAAAAGAGACTTACAACACGCGTGCGCGTGCGTTGAAGGGGGCTGAGAGCAGGTAGATCATCAGCAGCCAGCCACATAAATAACCGGAGAACTGGTTGGGGTTGGCGGATGATGAAAAGATGCCCTGTGATCACTCACCAGCCAAACTTATGCACTAAATCAGGCTTCTTTCTGTCTGCCGCTGTTTTTTTTGTTTTTGTTTTTTTTTTTCTGAACAGTTAAGCACCCGGGGACATGCCAGTGGACCTTAAAGATAAGTTACAGAGGGCACACCGCCTCATTGCACCTGGCTGTTTTGACAGCAGGTTTCATCAGCCGCCGGAGGTAGAAAGTCTGTCTGTCTGTGCTAAGCCGTCTCCTCTCAGAGGCAACTCCCACTCTTCCTTATTCCTTTCCCAACTTTGTAAGAAGCCACTAAGAGGAGGGCCAGTCCAGCCTAGTACTCTACCTGGGGCAGCCTGCTTGTGGGCGTGCCCTGCTCAGGGGTTCCGGACTTTGCTTCCTCAGGGCTACCTGCTGCAAGCAAGAGTCCTGTGCTAGAGCAGGGACCTGGGGAGTGGCTGAGCTTCCAACTCTCCCCAGCCCTCAGCCACACCAAGAATGCCTGGGAGCCTTCCACAGCCTGGCGCAGGCCCACAAAGCAGAGACTGCCAGCACCGCCCCCACCTAAAACGCTTGAGGGCGGGCGAGGCTGGTCCTGCGTGAGTCATCCTTGTTGGAAGTCACCTTGTTAGAAACCACAGGTTCTCACAACACGCCTGACTTTAAAGTGTTGCCTTCCAGGCCCCGCGCAGCCTCGCCTCGCCTCGCCTCACCTCACCGGGTTTGTTTAGTTTTCATTTCTTTTTTTTGTTCCCGGAGAGACTGAACCAAACAAGTAAGTAACTGAGCGGGCCGGCGTCCATTTCTAAACTGAAGGCAGTGTCTCTCCCAGTGAGCTAAAGCTGGCAGGCAGTAACCTTTCTCTTGGTTTGAAGGCTATCTGAACATCCTCCACTACATTTCGTGAGTCACAGACATTCATTGACACTTAGACACCTCCAAGCAGAAGCTCATATAAACGTCCACAAAGACAGAAATAAGCAGTCTACAGGGGTGGCTTGCTTGAACGCAGGGCCAGACTTTCCATAGCCACCAAGGCCTACCACACAGCTAGTAAGCCTGGTCCTTTCGGCCCAACATTCCGGCTAGGGAGGAGCCTGCATTACCCCACAGATTCTGTGAAGCTCAGAACTGGGAGATATGCAGCCCCTCTGCTCTAGGCTAGCTGTTCCCACAGGGCTGGCAAAGGTTTCTCTCTCACAGCTACCCCTGGCCTGAGGAAGGGGGGGGGGTACTGAGTCCAGGTCCCTGGGACAAAGCAATGACAAAATGGCTAGAGTGGCCTGATGCAGTCCTTAAGGGTACTAGGGAGGAAGTTCAAATGCAGGGATTGGAAGGAAAATAAGTGCCACGGCTAGGCAAAAGCTGTGGCAAACCAGATCACTTGTTTTGGCTACACACACCCAAGGTAGAACCGGAAGCTATCTGCTTAACCCACTCAAGGTGTAAAATGGTTGCTTGGAGACCCCACCCGAAACACCCAGCATGCTTTGTGTGACTTCACTTTATACACAAGGCAGTGGCCATTGGTCACATCCACCTAATGCCACAGTACTCAAGCCAGTGGCCACCGAGCCGACGCTTTCACGGACACAGTGAAAAAACCTCTCTGTAAGGACTGAGAGGCAGGCAGCAAGCTTCACTCTATCCCCGAAAGTTATCTCAGGTACCTTAGGTATTCCGGAACACTCAAGCCAATCACGGACGATGTTCTCAACAGACAGGCCGAGCCTTTGGAAACAAAATAAAACAAGAACCCGATGGTTAAAAACCCTTCCGAGCAGCACGCATGTCCAGCTAAGTCCTCAGGCAGAGGAGGTGCTCTTCAGCCATGAGTGAGCACCACCCTATTGGCTGGTGGTGTGGGAAGGAACCCGTGCGTGTGTGTGTGTGTGTGTGTGTGTGTGTGTGTGTGTGTGTGTGTGTGTGTGTGGCGGTACGGGTAGGAAAGCTCCTAGAATCCATGGAGCCCGGCTCCCCGCTAGGGGAGGCGAGTGTGGTAACACGCCTGTGAGCTGCACAGTAACACGGGCTGCAAGAACCCAGTCCACTGTCTGTTTTCAGGGTAGGCTGGCATCAAAAGCTCCGTGCATTACTCTGAATGTGGTTGCGCTGACTGAAATGCTTTTGCTTTCTTACCCTGCTGACTTCACTGGCCTACAGAACCACTACATAGCTGGAATAGTGGTAGCTGCTGGTCTTCCCTCAGCAATGCAAGGAAGGTTTGTCTGCAGCAAACCCGCCCCTCCTTATCCCCTCCCAGAAGACTCCTGCTCATGCCCGGAATTTGCTCCTCAGCCTTTAGCCTGGAAGAAGGCAGCCTGCCTCCCTGGATAAGCTCCATCCCTCTCCTCAGCTTGGTCACAGTATCTAGCACACTTGGGACTGAATGAAGGATGGAAGCTCTCTAGCAGCCAATCCCAGCATTCACGATGTTCCTGGTAGGAAGGCAAGTTTCTGTGGACATAGTTTTGTTTGAATGGATGAATGAAAAACACAGTCCCTGGAGGTGTGCAGGTAAAGCCTCAGCTACTGGAGCCAGACGGCCAGAGTTCCAGCCTAGAACCCACACACACAAAGCTAGACGTGGCGCGTGCCTCTTGTGATCCTGGAGCTCCTATCATGGGAAGGGGGTGGAGACAGGGCAACTGCCTTGAAATCTGTGGGCCAGTGAGCAGCAATCACGCATAGGGTTAGGAACGCAGACGCGCACATAAATAAACTTATGCCCCAATGCAAACCCCCCCCTCCGCAATTTCTGCACTGACAACAGAGGTTGTAGAAATACCCAATATAAATGAAGGCCAAGTGTAGTAGTCCACATGGGCTTCTGGTCAGGAATCAGCTTTCAATGGGCTGGGGAAACGGCGCCTATCGGGGAAGAAACGGGTTATTTGGGGAGAGAGTCTGAATTTCTGTAGCCAGTGTTTCTCTATAAGAGTAGGAGGCAGAAGATGGAGAGAGAACTAGAAAGATAGAGGGACTATCTGTCTTCTTTTCGGGTCTCCTTGGTCTTCAGATCCCGGGGAGTCACCTCACAAGGAAGCCCAGTGTCACCATCCCTGGGCCTTTTTCCACCACTTGCTATAATTGTATAAGGTTGATCCGGTGCAAACAGCCAAGCGCTCTATAAATGTTGGGCTCAGAGGCGTGTGTGAAGGGAGGAGGCTGCTCCCCAGGGCACCTTCAGGAGGACTCCCGAGTTTAGGAGAAGGCCTGGAAACACCCTCAGAGGACTTGGCTGAAAAGACAGGACTAGGACCGTGGTTCTGGCTGGACACTCGGGGAAACGGTCCCAGCAAACAGGCCCTGCTCCTCCATCAGGCCTGGCAAACTGGTGCCCAAAGAAATGGCCCCAGTGCTCAGAGCCCTGGGATGCGCAGGATGAGCGCAGGAAATGGACCCGTGTACCAAAGGAACTGCGTCCCCGCGGCAAGATCAATGGTAGGCAAGGTGGGGACAGAATGCCTTTGTTTCAGAGAAGAATAGGCCTTCAACTGAGTCATCTTTACCTCACGTGGAAACGGAACTCAAGTCTTATCTGCCAGCCCCACACATCTCAAGGGAAAAATTAATAATAACAAACGTTATTTCCTTGGGATACAGGTAGGAAGTGTCCTTCACTGGTTTCCTTTGCAGACAGACTCCTGTGGGCTACACTCCTGGCATCATCTCACTGACCCTTAGGAAAGCGGAAGCCAGAGGCACTTCTAAGGCTGGCCGCCCTGTACCTGGCGTTCATGAAAACAGGCACACTCAGAGAAAACGCGTAGAAGCATCATGGATGATCAAAAGGGCCAGACACAGTGGGCGATCCGAGCGCTCAGATGCTCGCAGGAACCGGATTACAAGCCCTGAAAGGACAGCATCTGAGGGGCGGCTTAATTGCAATTTTTGAGTGATTTCACAAGATGGTCAACAGCTGTTGGGCACCGGCACAGAGGAGTAAATGCCAGGGTGCAAACATCGTCTCCTCTGTGGAATTCCCACTGAAAGACCCCTCTCGCATCTCAGTGGCATAAGGGGTTGAAATGTCTCTGAGGAATGGATGGATGGAAGATGCCTTACAGGATGCCAGCAGCCTGTAGGTGTGTGGTGTGGGCCATCTCCTGGCTCAGAAGGGGAGGCAGCACTCGATCGAGCACGTAAGTTGGGGTGGCTGCACTGCCCTGCGTGCTGCGACGGGACAGTGGATATGGAGGAAGACGATGAATGGTAAGAAGACCCAAGTGCCTGTGCCATAAAGACAAGGTAAAGGTAAGGCTTGGCCTAGCCAGTAGCAGCCAGGATGGGATGAGAAGAGACCACCATGGTTACAGAACAAGGCTGGAGGCAGGGAGGCCACATAGCAGGCTGCTGATTTGCAGGCATGTGTGCAAGCGTGCAAACACACACACACACATACACACACACACACACACTTTGGAGACAGGGTCTCATTATGCAGCACAGCACAGGATGGCCTCAAACTCAAAATCCTCTACCTCAGTCCCCTGAGTGTATGTATGTGTGGTCACCTCAATCCCAAGGGTGTGGAGTGCTACAGCCAGCTCTGAGGGTTTGTTCACTGGCAAGCATTAGAGCGGATACAGTTGCCATACTCAGTACCTGCACACAAAGTCTATGGCGGCAGGAGAACAGAAAACAGAAACATCTCTAGGCACTGCCGGGTGAAGGCACAGTAGCAGCTACCGTCTGTGTACCTACTGTGTAAGAGCAGGACAGACAAGATTTTTCCTAACCCTTAGAGAAACAGCATAAAGTCGTGGTTATTATGACCTCAGGAAAGAAAGAACAAAATCCCGAGAGGCTGGGAAACTTGTCTGAGGCCACGCAGATGGTGCTTGAAGAGCTGGGATTCAAGTGTAGGAAGCCCTACTTTCTCTCCCATGCTAAACGTGGGCCGTGTGATGAGTCACTCTGCAGTGTACAGACTTGCTCACAGAAACAGCCTGCGAGGCTGTGCCCAGCGCAGCTCTCCCTTCTCTGTAACACTTCTAATGCCGCAGGTGACCTGCTGTCTGCTGGTGCTGGCCTGCTTGTCAGCGGAGAGGTGGAGAGACCGTCGTTGGGCAGAGACGTGAGGTCAGGAGAGTTCCAAAACTGCCCTCTCTTAACCAGAAGGGGCTGAGTTTTCACGTCACTCTTCTCTGGAAAGATCTGAAGCATCGTATGACCATGACCACTTTGGTCCTTACACTTGCCATGTGAAGTGGATGACAACTGTTTGAACAGAGGTTGAATCTACAGCCTAGGGGGACTCTGGTCAAAGTCAGTGTTCTCGAGTGTTAGAGCAGAGACAACAACACTGTACTAAGCCTGTCTGGGAAAGCGTGGAATAAGACGTTAGACCATAAGAAGATGCATGGGTTGACACCCTCCCTCCAAAAAAGCAACCAAGCAAAGCTTAAGGAGGTATAGGTGGCCTCGTCTCCAAGGAAATGGGATCCACCATATAAAAAATGCCTAGTTTTCTGGGAAGAAACGGACTACATGTTTTCAGAGCAAAGAGAGCATCTAAGCTGTTTTTGTTGTTCTGATCATTACTATGGGCATGGTACAGCAGTGACTAAGGGCATTTAGCTGCCTGCCACCCCCAGTGTCTACGCCAGAGGTGTGCGCTCCCCCTCTGAGGTCATGTGGCTTAAACATTCACGGCAGACAAGCAGAGACACTTCTATGTAGTTAGGACCCAGGCCACACAGGGAATGATACTTCTGCATGTCTTATCGCTATGGAGATTGATTTTATCCAGATAATTACAGGAGATAGACCCACGGCTGAATGTCCTTCCTGTCTGTACCAGGACGCTCACTCTTCCCACCCTATTGGCTGATACCTGGTCCTGGGAGCTATGGCTCCCTGCTCGTGTGAACCGCACTTCACTGGGCAGCGTGGGGCAGCGTGGGTTATCTCCTGATAACCCGGGGCTGTAAATGCATTGCAATTAGTAAATACAGAAGGGAACAGAACACACTGGCATCCCTGACGGGCTGCTGCTTAGAAAAACAAGCTGTTTAGAGCCCAGAGAGTGGACGAGTGATCTTTCCATGACATGGAAGTGAACAGATACAGCCACAGGCTTGCCAGAGGATGGGCCATGCACACCTGCAACACGCTTGCTGTTGACTTGTGAGCTGCTGTGATGATAAGCAGCCGCGGTAACTGTGCACAGACGGGCCTATCAGCTTGCTGTGACAGTGTGATGCTGACGTCATTCTGGGCACCTGCCTCCGGCCCCCTGGGAGTCTTAGCACTCACAACCTGCTGACCCTTCCACAGCCCGACACACAGTTACATCGGCTTTCTCATGAAGCACATGCCGGGCCTCAAGAACTTTGGAAGTATAGGTACTAGGCAGGGAAAAGGAGCAGGGTTTGAAATGGAAGTCCACGTCCTGGAATACAACTTACATTCTGTACAGGTGCTTAAACATGGGTAAGCTATGCCTTTCAGCCCCTTCTCTGCCTGTGGAAGCAAACTATGTTCCTCAGGGCTTTCCATGGTGTTGCTTGTTTTCTTGATCAGAACAAGGCATTTGTGCTCAGACAGTTAATGAAGACTGCTGATGGGCATGGCAAGTGAGTGCTCCCTGCTCCGTGGGGGAGGAAGAACAAGGGGTTTAAACAAACACACGGACATGCACACACAAACACTGTAATTGACGGCAAGAATTAATCAGTAGCTGTGGCTGACACCAGAACCCAGGAGCCAAAGCTGCTGGACCAGTTATTCCCCGTGTGTGTGTGTGTGTGTGTGTGTGTGTGTGTGTGTGTGTGTGTGTGTGATAGATTTCTGGCGGGGGGAGGATGGTGTGCCTGTCTAGATGGCCTGAGCACTTCTCTTTGTCCTTATCTCCTCCACCCCCCCCCCCCATTCTGATTCCAGGGACAAGAAGCTGCCCGCTGCACTTCAGAATGTAGCCCAGTGGCCAAGAAAGGAAAGCCAGGCTCCACACTTGGTTCCTCTATTCAGCATCACAACTAATCAGCCATTTGTAACCGTGGCGCCTCTCAGACAACCACTAGCTCTGTTCATTGCTTCAAAGCCCACGGCCACTGTACGAGTCACTGAAATGACCCCAGTTCTCAAGATTTCTGGACTCAAATGTTCTAGGGGTCTCTACTGGATCTCCCCGATACTAGCTCTCCCATCCCCCCTCACTCCTCCCACAGTGCCTGGCCAGAGACATTCCCCAAGTCTTCAGCAAGCTCTGGCTTCAGGTATCATTTCAAATTGAAGGCTGATGAGTCTGCTGTCTGCGCCCCTAGGACCCAGAACCTCTCAAGCCCTTCATCCACTGATTCTAACGCCCTGTGCTGGCGATGACAGTGACCTGTGTTTTTGGTAGCTGGCTGGGATCTCTTTGAAGGCTGGTACTGGATTTATTTTTCCCTGCCTCGTGTGAGATGGTCCACCCAGAATGTCGATGCATTGCAGCGAGACGACAGAGCAGACACTGAAGCCACCAGCCACTGTGGCTGGCAAAGCCTTGCCTGCTCGGCATGGCTCAAGTGCCTAACAGATGTGCCAAAGGATCGGTTTGCAACTGGGGCCAAAGATTAGAGGCTCCAGGGGGTAGATGTGCCGTCTTTGGAGGCCCACATAAAATTAGTACAATATGCTGCATAGGTAATGGAGCAAACCATCTGTTTGAGTAGGCAAACTAGATTTTGAGATTAGTTAGCCAGCAAGAAGATGTTGTTTGAAAACATACTCCAATATACTCGGTGAAGCAGGCTTGCTGTAGGCAAGAGATTACTTTATCATTTAAGGAGAATTCCTAATGAGACTTAAGCCTGCTAGGCAAAGCATGATCTCACTGGGGGAGGTGCCCATCAGAGGGATGCAGTGGGTGGTTGGCAGCCACGTACATGGAGCTTAGATGCTGCTCTAATCCCCACAACTGCAACAAAAGTCTCTTTGTGGGTTCAGTGTGTTGCCTCAGTAAACATCCACAACAATAAAATCCAGGCCCTGGGAGCCAGAGGGCTCAGGGCACCCAAATGAACTCCATACTGCATCATGGAGATTAGAAGTAAGACGGATCTCCCAAACTCAAGTGAACTGTGCTGTCTCTGCCCTAAGAAGTTTTCCCTGAAGGATTGCACTTTGATAGCCAACAGAAGAGGCCGTACACCACATCTATAAATTAATTTCTCCCCTCCCTCCCTATTTCCTCTGCTTGATGCCCTAAAGAAGGACCTCTATACTCTTATCAGAGAACCTGAGCTAGTGTCCTAAGGGCAGGCATGAAGAAAAGAACATTACTGGTACTGCAGTACAGGTCAACCACACGCCTAGCATGTGTGAGGCTGTGAGCTTAACACCCAGTTATGAAGGGACAGTGTAACCCTTCCAGGGTTACTCCTGAACAACAAGTAACCACATCTGATGTGACGCTTGCAGAAGAATCGCCGCCTGAGCTGCCTGGTTTTATGTCAACAGGAGCTAGAGTCACCTGAGAAGAGGAAACTTCAGCTGAGAAGATGCCGCCCTAACATCAGGCTTCAGGCAAGCCTGTAGGGCTCTTTCTTAGCTAGTCTAGTGATTGATGGGGGAGAGCCCAGCCGATGGAGGGTGGTGTCACCTCTGGGCTGGTGGTCCTGGATTCTATTAGAGAGCAGGCTGAGCGAGCCATGGGGAGCAAGCCAGTGAGCAGCACCCTCCATGGCCTCTGCATCAGCTCCTGCCTCCAGGTTCCTGCCCTGTTTGAGCTTCTGTCTTTATTTCCTTCCATGATGAGCAGCAATATGGAAGTGTGAGCTGAATAAACACTTTCCTACCCAAGCGGTTTGGTCATGGTGTTCCATCAAGGCAGTGATAACTCATTCTACTTAAGACACCACCACGATACGTCTACTTAAACAAACAAACAACAAAACCAGGATGCTAAACTGGAACATTTAGGGCCTTCCACACGAGGCTGTTCCTTAGCACAGGGCCTCCAGAAAAGCTGATTGTCTTGCTAAGTCCCTGAAGCCACAGGGCATGTTTGGGAATGAGCATAGAAGGGCAGCAATCAAGGAATCGAACAAGTACATGGACGCTGCATGATGCATGGATTGGCTTCGTATTTGCATATTTCTGCTTTATTTTTTTTAAATGATATTTGTTCAGTAAGATGGCTTAATGGGTAAAGGTGCTTGCCACAGAGCTCACATTAAAGGTGGAAGGAAGAGAATCCACAAATCTGACCACATATGCACCACGCTGCATGTGCCCACACACAGAGACAAATCAATATCAGGGTTTAGCTCAGTGGCAGAAAGCTTGATTAGCAAGTATGAGCCCCTGTGCTGAAAAGCAAGGCCACAACAGAACCAGGACTAAGAGCAGAGCCTCCACCCTGCTGAAGGAAGGGTGGAAGGTGGGAGAGAGGGAGGTTTCAACAGGGGGAAATCCAGTATGCAGAAAAGAGTCCTCCCCAGTCATCCTTGCACTTAGCCTGGACACATAATGCCTCACCCTTGAGACATCTAATTTAGACTGCTTATCAGTCAGGCTTAGCGACATAAAAGTGGCTGGCCTTGCATGAGTCTAAGACAATATCTGTCTCAAAGAATTCATGTCCACACTTGGAAATGTTTACATACATTAGCAACACAGCTAAGCCCTTCAGGCAGAGAAAGAAAACTAATGTCAGCCCTTCCACAAAGAGACATTTATATTGCTCGGAAAGTCACCCTTTAATGTCTGGATGCCAGCTTTGCTATTAGGACTATGCTTTCAGGTGTTTACATTTAGGAGCTAGGACAGGGCGCATTACAAGACCTGCACTGGAGGAGTCTGGATGTGTAACAGAGGCTTTGGCATCCTCTAACAGCCATATGAGGCCAGGTGCCCCAGATGACCACATCCAACTCTGAGTGTCAGGCAGCTTGCACTGAGCACGGAGGTAGAAGGTGTCAGGATGGAGCCAGTCCCTGTGGGCCCACACACTGGGGGACAAGCTACCTCTGGAGCCTCAGCTTCCCCAACTCTGGGGCCAGACTTCCATGTCGGGCCTGAGGTACAGACTGGTGACTCAAGTCAGTTTCCTTCAGTCGCCTTCTCGGTCAAACAGGGATAAAAACATCACACTGGGTGAGTGCTTGCCTAGCGTGCATGAGGGTTTGATCCAAGGCTTCACACACTTTAGTAGTGGTGATGCACACCTGTGATCCCCGTGCTCAGGAGGTAGAAGCAGGAGGCTCGGACGTTCCGGGCCACCCTCAGGGACATAGTGAGTTTGAGGCTAGCCTGCCACCCGTGAGACCCCAACTGAGAAAGCGTGATTCCAAGGATCAATGTTGTGTTCTATTGCTCTCCCTGATGGATGGATTACGAGAACACTAAAGCCAGAGCCGATGGCGATGCACACAGACCGTGCGCGTGGCTGTGCACAGGACATGGCTGTGTTTTAATGGGCAGACCAACCATCAAATGAGCACCTGGTTTAAACACAGGAATCAACTTTTTAACCCCTGCTATTTTAAATACTGCCCACAGGGGTCTAAATGACTTGCTCCAGATTTTGAAATTAGGAAGTATGATGGTTAGTTTTTAACCGCCAACTCTGCACAGCCTAGAATCACTTAGGAAGACAGTCTCAATGAATGCGGCACGCCTATAGGAGACTGTCTGTCTGACTGCCTTGGTTGACGTGGGACAAGCTGGCTAATGCATTCAGCATTCTCCCTACCCTTGACCAGCGGTTGGAGGCCACTGCTGTCTTCAATTTGCCACATGAGGGACGGTGACCGGGAACTGTGACTAAAATAAATCCATTCCCCCAAGTCGCTTTTTGTCAGGTATTTTACCATGGCCACAGGTACGAGACCGGGACAGGAGGCAGCATGTCACCCCGGGCTCTGGCTGCACATCTGCGGCTCAGTTAAACAGGCTGTCCTTATAGAAAACCACTGCGGCTACCTCAACTTCTTCTCCTCTTTTATTTACCTACTTATTATTCTAATGAGTAGGTGGGCTAGCAGCCCCTGACCTTATCTGAACAGCAAGAGCTCTGCTGTGGAGTGCTCTCCTCCCTTCTTAACCCCCCCTCCCCCGGGGTGCCCGGGCTAGCTTCCTGATTCCACACTGAAGGGCCCTGGGTTGTATATGCATGCTGCCCTGCCCCCAGCCTGTGTTCTGGTCAAGCTGTGACTCTACAGTCAGTCGCACTGGGTCCCTTCACGCAGAGAGGAGACCTCAATTGTCTTAAGTTGGAACAATGGGCCAAACGATGGCAGGGCCTTTTCAACATTAAAAGCGAAATGGGGCTCTTGACCCCTATGCTGGTCCTCACCTTTTGTCTTCTGGAATGCTCTCCAACAGCATTTGAAGGAAATCCTGAAACAAGAGGAAAAAAAAAAAAAGCAAACCATGAAAGCCTTCTACCAGTGACGGACCGCCCAAGCCCAACCTCACCAGCAACCAAGCATCAAGTGATGCACTGAGGGTCCGATCACAAATGGAAGAACTTCCCTTCTACTTTCCCATGCCTCACACGAGGTCCTCCTCAGCTCCTAGAGGCCCACAACTAACCTGCAAAAGCCAGCTGAGCTACAAATACAAAGGTGGCTCCAGTCCCTTCTCTACTGTGTCCGTTCAGTCACAGGACATCTAAGGAGTTCGCTTGTGTGACAGTACCATGTCATACTTACGCCTTTTCCTGAGCCACTTTGCTTTATTGTGGGAAATGTCAAATGAGATGCAAAGTGGAATAATTAACCACCCTGTTCAAATTACCTGAGCTGACCTGCTTTGTCCTATCCATCTATTCCGCCTTCTGAGCTTCTAAGAGATCCTGAATATTATATAATATTGTGTATAAATGCTTTATAAACCTGTCTAAAATAAAAGGACTCTGTCAAGGATACTGACAATTATCATAGACCCAAAAGTTCAAATATGAGCGCTCACTTGTACTTAATTGATACTTTTGTTGTGGCTACCTTTCCCATCCATCGAATCCTGGAATCCTCAGTGGGTCTCAACTGGTGTTAGTACACACAGAACATTTAGTTAAATTGGGAGGATAAATCCACTAAGGATGACTGTTTCGTCAAAGTGAAGACTTAACTGGGCTTTTCTGCTCTGCCTTTTTCTTTGCTGGGTGTGAGCTCCAGCGTAAGCATCTCACCATCAGAGTATCAGATGGGCAGGTGACACAAAAGGAGAAAAAAAGCAAGCACGAAGCATATCATGTTTTGCTGTTAAATGATGTTAAACAAACAGCAGGATCTGTATCTGGAGGGTTTTTTTTTTTCTTTTCTTTTTTTTTTTTTTTTTTGGTTTTCATTTTTACCTTTCTTTAATGCATAGAGTCTTTTGCTATGCTAACATTAATGATCTTCTTTTAATGCAGTGATGGATACAATTTTGTTTCTTGTTTTTCTGAGTTTGAACAGTCACTTTTGTTTTTTGAGACTGTTTCTCGCTATGCAGCCCATGCCGATCTTCCTCCAGATTCAGCCTCCTAAATGCTGGGACTGTCACCTGGCCACCCTTGAAGATGTAACACAGAGAAAATAAACTTTTAAGACATGCACGATAGCCCATGCCTGTAATACCGGTACTCCGGAGGCAGAGGCAAGACAGTTAATTAGAGCTTGATGTTAGCAAAAAAGTACAGTATCCATCCATATACGAGATTGTTAAAACGTGTTCTTTCAGAAGAGTGACCACAGCAGTGAGCATGGCAGGGTGTTCTTTTCCATCATCACACTAAGTCCAGCCATACAGGCATGAGCAGACCCAGCCCCTGGGCTTATTGGGGGGCGCTGTCTTTCCAGAGGCGAAGTTCCCCCACACGCCACTGTGACTGAAATCCCTGACACAGACAACTGAACAGAGCAGAGGCTTGTTTGGGTTCATAGTTTCAGAGGCCCTATTACAGCATGGAGGCTGCTGGGGCTCTAGCAGTTGTGGCTTGTTCACGTGGTACAGAAGAGGAGGGAGGCAGGAAGCAGGGGCTGGGGCCAGAATGGTTATGGTAATGCAAGGGCCACCACTCTTAGGAGCCTACTTCTGACAGCCAGGATGCTGGGAGGCTCCACAACCTCCCATAACACGTGTTCAAACACACACACAGGCCTGGGAAAGGAGGCCGTGAAATGGAGGGCGGTGGTGGTAGTTGTATGCCTGATTGTTTACTGCCCCACAAACGCACCCACGGTGGACATCAGAAAAACCTGCTGGGGGGTGGGGGGGAAGAATACTAATATATTATTAAGAGTGTGAGGAATTATTTTTCCCTTGAGGTTCTTTTGTGTGGAGTGGGGGATCTGCATTTGTGCAAGTGGCTATCCAGAAATCGGCCTCTGGTATCACCCCTCAGGCGCATCCACTTTGTTGACACTGGTTCTCTTGTTTGGCCCTAGGCCAGGTAGGCTGGCTGGCTAGCAATCTCCCAGAATCTTGCCTGTCTTGCAGAGGTGACTGGCTTTTATACATGGGTCCTGGGGACAAGCCTGGGTCCTCATGCTTGAAAGGCAAGCACTTTACACCCACTGAGCCTAGCCTGAGGGTCTTAAAGTCATTATTTTTATTATTTTAAAAAGTACTGAGACTCAGGAAATAGGCTAACAGTATTCGTCTATTATGTAAAAATATTTTTCTAAACTGCTGCATTACAAATTTATTTATCATGATCTAATTAACAGATCTCTTTGTAAATCACTGTTAGTGGGTCATTGACTTGTTGACAAGATTTAGATTTTTTTTGATTCTTAAAAATCCAAGAACTATGTAATTATAACTCTAATTATTACTTCTTACTAATTTCATCCCATTATGTCTATATAGTATCTACAAACTTATCTCCTATTTTCCCAGCAATTTATGCTCAATTACGTTGGGGTGGGGGAAGATGACATTAACTTAATAACAAGGGAGAAGGATTTAATTGCTTGAGAAGCAGGAAATTCAGAGTTAACCTTAATTCTACCCTTTCAAATTTTCAAGCTACAACTGGCTTCATAGCCCCTCCCCTTTTGATAGGGTGGTAAAGTACAGGGATCTGGACTTCTGGGCAGATACAGGGTAGTGACGAAGGTCCCTGTGGAAACCTTCTCCTCCTCCCTTTTATTTTAAGAAAGATGTTGTCCTGCCTCTTAGTAGGTTACCATCCTGGAGCACCTGCCAATCTCTGTCTCCACGCTTGGATTGGCAGGCAGCTCAGCAGCTAACTGGAGGCTGCCAACCAGCACCAGATATCACACAGACCAAACACACTGGGCATCTCTAAGATGTCCGCTGGGATTCGTGACGTGTTTTCTACATTCTGCCTTGTGCTCCACCCCACTTGAGACGCTTGTTTCCCATCTGAAGTCTCCAGAGCGCCTACGATCAGGATGGACTCAGTTGGGCCCTCTCACTTCCACGAGAGACCCACGTCTAAGCACACAGGGCTAGCTTTCCTACTTCCTCTTGCATCGCCCTGGGTGGACTCGTGAGACTAGTCCTTTCCAGGCACTGCCTGCTGGACCAGGCTGAAATGTGCCCCCAGGAAGCCGTCTTCCCTCACCATCTCCTCCCTTCTCTTTGGCGTGCTTGGGGTTCTGAGAGGGAAGTGAGACATTATAATTGGACAAAGAGGGCTCCTGACAACAGGGGTCCCAATGTGCCATATATATATTTGCAGTATGCCTGTGATCCTGGACAGAGGACATCAGGAGGGGCTGGAAGGCTAACGATGCTGAAATATAGCACAGGGAGTAGAGGTCAAAGGGAAACAGATGAAGAGGCTGACAAAAATAACTAGGTACCAGGGTAAATGAAAACACAAATCCACACAATACATACAAATTGTTTTAATTAAAAAAAAAAAAAAAAAAAAAAAAGCAAAAGCAAAGCATGCCCAACAGCTTCCAAATATGGACGAAGGGACAGCCTCCTGGCATAAACTTCAAAGAGGGGCGCTAAGGAAAGGGTATATGATTCTGCCAGTCTCTTAGGTGACAAGCCGCACCTCCCCCGCTCTCAGGCTCACAAGTTGGGGAGCTGGCGAATTGCACATATCCAAGAAATTCTCAAGTGCCTACATATTTGCAAAGAGATTGGGGATTTGTCTTTCTTCTTTCCTAGCTATGGAGGGCCTGGAAGGATTGCTGGAGAGATGCACACGAGTCCAATGGTCATGAGGACCCTAGGAGGGGCAGAGAACACTTCCCCACAGATGCTTTACACTCAGAAAACAATCAAGAACTAGCAACAATAACAAAAGAGAAAGAAAGAAAGAAAGGAAGGCAGGCTAAAGATGACAATACAACAAATCGAAAAGAGATTCATTCTAACTCCACAATAACCCCATTTGGGGAACATTAATTTCTTTTAAAGAGCAAGGCAAAGATCACTAGAGAAAATGACATCTAGATGTTAGGGTTGCAGTTCAGCTGGGCAAGCGCGTGTCTGTCAAGAACCCCGTGACAGGTGTAGTGACAGATGCCTGCAATCCCAGCCCTTGAAAGATAGAGGCACACCAGAAGGTCAAGGTTGTCTCAGCCACACTAGTAGTCTGAGGACAGCCTGGGCTAACTGAAGACTGTCTCAAGAGAAAAAAGAAAAAAAAAAAGAAAGCTATCTAATAAAAAGAGTTGCTTGAGAAGAAAATGGGGATAAAGAGAAGAAAGAAGAAACTAATTATCTAATAATGTATGCACTCTAGACAGAAAAGCCACAACAGGGAACTTGGGATCTTACAAGGGGAAAAGAACGTGACGGAAGATGTAGTTAAAGTCAAGCATGGTGACGTAGGCCTGTATTTTCTGATGAGGCAGGGGGATCACAAATTCAAAGCCAGCCTGGGCATACTTAGCCAAGAAGTGAAGGTGTGTGCCTTTAACCCCAGCACTCGGGAGGCAGAGGCAGGTGGATCTCTGCAAGTTTGAAGCCAGCCTGGTTTACAGAGTTCCAAAACAGCTAGGGCTACACAGCGAAAGCCTGTCTTGAAAAACCAACCAACAGAACAACAACAAGAAAACAAATACAGAAGAGCATACTTAAGACAACTGCCCTTTAGAATCTAAGACTTAAAGACTACAGTGAGAAGTAGGGAGAAGAAATAACGTAAAGTCATACACACCAGGGCCAGCGAGATGGCTCGACAGAAGAAGGAGCTTGCTGCCAAGCCTTGTAAGGGACCTGAGTTAGGACTTAAAAAACCTACACAGTAGAAGGAGGGGGCAGACTCCTACCACGGTCCACTGTACCCCACACCCAGATACACATACACAGACTCTTTCTCCCAAAGTGTAAGGCAATTCTTTGGAATAATCAGGCATTCACACTCACTTTCAGTTAAGTCACGGAATTCAAAGATGAAGGCTGGCAACTTTCACCAGCTTCACAATGGTGATCAATGCCAGAAGTCAGCTGAGCAACATCTACCAAGTTTCCAGGAATGGATATGCAGCCCAGGGACATTTAAACCTAGCTATTTTGTGATTTAAACCCAGACAAGAGACACACAATCCCAACCAGTAAGAACTCAGAAACCACACAGCCTGGGAAGCTGCAACTTGAACATCAACTTGATAATGAAATTGAGCCAACAAAGAGCTGAATCAAAATAAAATATTCATGAATCTAGAAGCATGGTAAAGTGGCGGCGGCAATACTAAAATCCTTTATGCTGGCAAAGCAAACCTTAGCAGTGTGACAGTAACAACTAAGTACAAATGTGAGGACTGCAAGATTGACGGAAACAAAACAAAACACCGCTTCCATTCTTGACTTTTGAGACAGGTCTCATTTTGGTCTTGGGTAGCCTGGAACCTACTTTGTAGACAGGCTGGACTGGAACTCAGGGGATTACAGCTGTGCACCTCTTTGCCAGGAGCAAGCATGATGGGAAATTACACTTGGAATCACAGTAGCATACCTGTAGGCATGCTTCTTGTCAGAACTCTCTCTCTCTCTCTTTCTCTCTCTCTCTCTCTCATGGCCTCAGTCTGTTAGCTTCAGTCTCCTTTCCCACTAAACTTAGGCAGATGAAATCTTAAAAGCACATTCAAGCCAGGAGGCAGAAGGATAAGAGACAGTCAAGACTAGCCTGGTCTTTACAATAAAACCGTGTCTCAAAAGAACAAAATAAAACAACCACAAGAAAAGGCGGAAATAGACAAAAGCTGACGAGCACACAGGAAGTCGGTGAGCATGGAAAGGCAGGCACTCCCGCACATCAGTGTGGGCTTCTAGAGACTTTGATCAAAGAATTAGCCTTGTCATGGCTAGGGAGCCATCTCAGCTGGCTAAGCACATGCCACATGAGCACGAGGACCTGAGTCCAGCTCTCCAGCACCCATGTAAAGAGCCAGCGTGGAAAGACGGAATGTTCCAGAGACACATGCTTGTTGCTGGGACAGAAAAGTTGGTGGGGCTCAACGCCACCAAGCTTTACATTACAATGGGAAATTTTATTTTATGTATACTTAGCCATAAAATGCGAGCAAAGTGTAAATTTTCAAAAGGCATGCAGTCCCCTGTGCTGGCTCTGGAGTAGGTAATGGCAGTTGATGCGTAAGCCTTATGACTCAGGTTCAATTCTGAGATCCACATGGGAAAAGGAGAGAAAATGTTTCTTTCTGACCTACATTCATGCACGCGCACTCTCTCTCTCACACACAAACATATACACACATACACACACGCGCGTGCACACACACACACTCTCTCACACACACACACACACTCTCTCTCTCTCACACACACGCGCACACACACACTCTCTCACACACACTCTCTCTAAATACACAAATAAAGCAGTGAAAGAATGGTATTCAACAGAATAAAATGACAAAACCACTTAAATCAAAGGGTTTTTGTGGCTGTTTTTGGCACTGTGTGTGTCTGTGTGTGTGCACACGTGCCCACATGTGTGTAAGTGAGCGTGCCTGCATGTGTGGAGGCTGTAGCATTTGGTGTCTCCCTTTAACACTGTTGTCCCTGTTCCCTGGGGTTTCTCCCTGAACCTGGGTTTTGTTTTGTTTTTTCCTGGGGGACGTGTGGCCAGGAAGTCCCAGGGATTTCCCTGCGTCTGGGTCTCCTCCGTGCCGTGTTGCAGGCGTATGTGGGATCAGTGATTGCTGTGTGAGTGCTGGGAATTAACTCCACTTTTCATGCTTGCACAGTAAGTACCCTGAGCTCCTGGCCAGGAAGGGTCTGAGGGGGCAGTGTCAGGAGAAAGGCTTGTCCAGATGACTCCAAGTGACTCCAGCAGGACCGTTTGTGTGGAGCTGAACAGCCGGAGGCCACAGCAGCTCCCTCTACTACCAGGAGGTCACATTCCCCCAAACACACATCCTTCGAGTCCACATCACTAAACTGTACATTCTCCACTTTCCCGTGCTGACATAATCTAATCCCCATATGCTGTAGCCTCTCTAGTTATGTGCAGTGAGTTCATCAGGATCCCACGAATTACCTGAGAAAGAATCAACTTCCCATGAAACAGGTGTACAAATTTTCTTAAAAATGAAAAATAAGTGTCCTTTCCAAGTGTTCTGGCTAGGAATCGAAGAAGGAAGTAACCCTGGGAGAAGAAAGAAGACAGACAGACAGAGTGGCATCAGGTGTCATCATAGAATGGCTTACATCAGTGCAATGGAGAACATGCTGCCTGGAAATGCGGGGTGGACTTCAGAGCCCTCAACAACCCTGCTAATGCCATCGCCACCTCTGCTTGGACTCTGCAAGGGAGGAGAGGCCCAGAGCTTTCACAACAGGTTCTGGTCTCTACTCATCTGCAGCAGGGACCTGGGCTCCCTCAGGTTGAGTCCTTCTGAACATGGCCTTGTTTAGAGGCTTTTGGAGCTGACCTCTGCATACCCAGCCTAGGCTCACCGAGACGCCATTGTAGAAGTGGAGACCCTTTTTTTTTCCGCCTCAGCCATGTTACTCATCTCCTTCAGCTCAGTGGCCTCGGGAGTGCCACGCTACAACAGATGGCAGGAGCCTAACCTGCATAAGATGGAGCCAGGCTCCCTGAACATGGGTGTCAGTTGAGGGGCTTGGGCAGTCTGTGGGGCCCTATGGAGGGGACACTCTCTCAGCCTAGATACATGGCAGGGGGGCGGGGGGGAACGGGAGGACCGGAGGGAGAGTGAACTGGGATTGGTACATAAAGTAGTATTGTTTTTAATTTAATAAAAAACAATTAAAAAACAAAAAGAAACAAAACAAAGATGAATGGCAGTAGCCACCGGCATACTTACCTTTAAGTAATGGACCTGCATGAAGCCCTTCTCCGGGTTGAGTCCATGTTTGACAACAGATGCGCCAGAAGCACTCACAAGGCCGGTCTCCTCTTTGTTGGGTCTAAAATGACACGGTGGTTGCATTGATACCCATCGCCTCTCATCTCTGGGTTTCAAACTTGTGCAGCCACGCCTCCCTTCAGCTCAGCAGCTCCAGGTGTAACTGGAGGCAGCTACAGCTTACATGGCAAACTCACATACTCAGCAAGAAGGATTTATACTCAGTCTGGCAAACTGAGGTTGGTTACTGGCAATACTGTATGGCGCCTTATCCAAGATGAAAGCCTGCCAGTACCTCCAGGAATCTTAAGCTCCCATATGAATTATTTATCAGTGTAAACCTTTGCATGGTGAGAAAGCTGGGCTGGGAGACACAGAGGCAAATGTAGCTCACTTGGTAAAGTTATGAGTGTATGTGTGTGTGTGTGTGTGTGTGTGTGTGCATGTATGTATGTGTGTTTGAGTTGTGTGTGCGTGTGTGTGTGTGTGTGTGTGTGTGTGTGTGTGTGTGTGTAATTGTAGAGAGCCTTAGTGTCTCCTCAGGATCTCTGTTTAATAATTAAGTTTCTTTTAGGACATATTTGCATCCTGAATCTACTTGAGAAGCATAAAACAAGCACAGGAAATGTCCCAAGACCTCCTTGTTTCGGGGATGGCCAGGGACATTAGCGATGACATGCTCATTTCATACACGAGGTCTGTATCCAGGGTATGATGCTTTGCTGTGGGCTTGTGGCATCACAGAGATAAAACCAGTGTCTCATTATCCAGCAGGGCGCTTCCTACTATGTGCTCAGCTTTAACTCTCTCTCCTTTTTTTTTTTTTTTTTTAAACTCCCCTTTCTTAAAGTGAAATAAATCCTTTGCAGCCCTTCACACAGTGGAGCCTTAAGAAAGCTAAGATGGAAGTAAGTGACAGAAGGTATGTGTAGCTTTCTGGGCTTCCTGGACAAACACGGGAGGTTGCGTTAGCGCCGGGTGAGGAGAACCAGCAAGAGGGTGAACACAGCAGAAAGCTGAGGGTTATTCTGTAAAGGTGGAGAAGCAGAGTGCCAGGTCCGGGGATCTGAGCAAGATGGCTGACCATCAACCTTCCTTCTTTGTCTTCTTTTGTGGCTGTTGCAATAAGTGTCATTGTGTCGGCTCTGGCTGGCCCAGAACCCACTTGCTGACAGGGTTGCCCCTGCCCCCTTCCCAAGGCTGCTCAGGGGGATGCGCCACCCCACCCAACTAACCTTTCTTCCTAGCATGTATTATTCACTACAAGGCTGCAGAAGCTCTCCAACCTTCAATTTATTAACTAGTAAAACGGAAGTAATTCTCTAGGTCCTGTGCAACACCACTCCCAACAAGGGTGATGAATATAATAATTACTTTTTCAAAATAATAAGATATTCTAACTGCTGTACAAAAAGAACCCCTTAGTAAGTCTTAGTGGGACATCCCAGAACACACTTCTAGCAGACACAGGGCTCAGAACCAGCAAAGTCAGTTAAGAATGAGCGGCCATAGGAGCTGGCTCCAGGGTTTCAATTTGTCACCTGCGCCCCTGGCTGACTTACACGAACACACTGGAATCATTCACTCACACCCCCCTCCCCCTTTGTCTTCACCAGTCCACTGACTGGTGACTGACTATTTGAATGAGGAAAGGCACAGTGGCTTTGCCAGGGAAATCCTGTCACCCTCCTAAGGGAAGAACGGCTTCTCAAGAGGCCCCGTGAATTCGTATTGGGCTGCCCAGCCCCTAGCTTCAAGGTTCACCAGCTGCAGTAGCATCTTGCCTTGCCAATGAACTTGTGGTAGTGGCCACACCTTTTGGGCGTGGTTTCAGGTGCAGATTTGACCCATTAAAAGGTAGAGGAGGGGCTGGCTCAAGCTCTCTTGGGTGGCAGAGAGCATCGGAAGGGCAGAGACTGCATCTTCTGGTGCAGGAAGACCGAGCTGGCTACTTACGCTCATCTGTGTAAGTCTCGTGAAAACCCTGCCTTCAGTACGATCCTGAGCTTGGGACTGAGGTTACTGAGGGGGAGGAGACAGGGTGCTGCGGACCTCTATTCATGTTGACAGTGTTCCCACCAGGCACATGAGTCCTCAGAGATCTCTGTTAAAGTGAACACAGAGCGAGGGCAAGCAGGGCACAAGCGAGCTCTGCAAGACTCAGGAGGAGGCTTTCACAGGGAAAGACACTCCAGCAGAGACCACGAGCTTCTGTCTCGGGGATGCCTGCCACCTGTTGACCTGTTCACAGAGCTGGCTCTACGCAGGTACAGGTACAGAAAAAGTAGGGGCCAACCCAGGTCTGCCCCCAACAATCACACAGAGGAAGCTCACACCCACCAGGAATACATATAGATGCCCCTTCCCATTGCTTCCCAGAAGTCTAGAACCCAGCAACACTGACCTCTGGCTACAGATGGGGACAGTGGGAAATTTAAGGAGGGCGAAAGAGGCTAAACGAAGATTTAGGAGACTGTTTCTATGTGGCTAAATAGTACAGCTCACCGGAGTAATCTAGCAAAGATGTGTGCATTTTATTGCATGTGTTTTATTTCTATTTAAAGTTAAGGAAAAGTTGAGCATTTGAATGAATGCCTGAAATCCCAGTATCTTAGAGGCTGGGGTGGGGGAGAGAGCAAGTTTGAGACCAGACGGAGATACAAAGTGAGATGCTATTTCAACAAAACCCAATCAAAGACATTAACTATGTAAATAAGACAGTACCCATTTCCCCCCTCAGAGCAGGGGACACCAGCACAGAAAGGTGTCTGCACCTTGTGTGCACACTCACAGGACTGGGACATAAGGCGAGGGCAGGGGCTGGGGGTTAGGACCAGGGAGAAGCTGTCCCTTCTCTTATCCCAGAGAGCGATGACCACTGCTGGGTTTCTACCCACTTACTCTCCTCGTATAGATGGCAGAGGGAGCTGTAGGAGCCACCTTGCAACCAGGAGGCAGCAAAGTCAGTGCGCCCAGAGATCAGAAGGGATAAACCAAGGCAAAACCTCTTCAGTGGCATAATTACGCCCCGGGGTAGCCCCGACTACCTGCCCTTCTGGTGCGAGAGATATAAGCGCCACGTTGTGAAGTCAACTTCCTTTACAGTCCATTACCTATACTCAGACTCGCATGCGGTGGACGGAGAGCTGGAGCAGTGCTCCTGGCACACATGCGGTGGACGGAGAGCTGGAGCAGTGCTCCCGGCTCACATACGGTGGACGGAGCTGGAGCAGAGCTCCTGGCACACATGTGGTGGACGGAGAGCGGAGAGCTACAGCAGAGCTCCCGGCACACATGCGGTGGACGGAGAGCGGAGAGCTACAGCAGTGCTCCCGGCTCACATGCAGTAGATGGAGCGGGGGTGAGGGCCAGGGTGTCTTGCCATTCACTCGGTCACACTCTTCTGCACTGTGCTCTCCTCCCTTACAGGGACCTGGCAAGGACAGGGCTGCAGAGATGCCCATTAGAGCTGAAGAAATAGGTGCCTAGAGATGAACTCAAAGCTGGTCAGCAGCCCGTCAGAACCCAGGCACAGGCTGTACAGCAGGGCTTCCTGGAGAAGGCAGGTTCCTACACTACTGTGCAAAATCCTCAGGAGAGACCCAGAGACCCATCATTTTCCTTCCGGGAAGCTTTGTTCCCTGTTCCCTCACTGCAAGTCTGCAATGAAGCTAGCACAACTGAAAGCAAACTGCTAGTCATGCTGCGGCCGGGAGACGCCAGCGGCGATTACGCCTCGTCTGACGCACACGGAATGTGGGTGATCAGGTTACCAAGGTCGTCTGGGCTCAAATGCTCTTGGTTTCTGTTGTACCGGGCACCCAACACGGCAACTGGGGTGAACACGACCTTCCTTACCCCTTCCCTACCTCTCCTTCAGTCTCACGGAAGCCGCCTGCTATTTCCTGAATGAAGGTGGTGTCTGACACACAGGGATACCGTTTGGAAGGAGGGGCTCAGGAAAGGCCCAGTCCTCCTAGGCTACGGCCAAGGTCAAAAGTAGGGCAACTGCCTTTGTGAGGTGCTCAGCCAGTTAGGTCTGGTTCTGTCTGCCCCGCCTAGCTCATGCAGATCATCCGCCAGCATGCCCTCTTGTGCTTGTGGGTACCAGCTGCCAGCTGCCTCTGTGAGCTCACCGGTCCCTGTGTATTTGTCAGTGGTAGCCACCCCAACGAGGAGCAGAGAGAGCTTCATTAACACCCTAATAAGGAGGAAGCGAAACTCTGTCCAAGAAGGAACTGGCCTCCAGGTACCACCTGAACTCCACTGGCACCTTGAAAACCAACGGGATGCGCATGCAGGTTAAGATTTGGCCAGGAACACTGCCTCTGGCGTGTGCATCCCTGTGAAGCAGATCTCCCTGGTCAGCAAAAGCAAGAGAAAGTATGGCTGTTGAGACGGCTCACCATGAGCATGGGCTGAACCCCAGTGCCTACACAAGTACCAGGCAGGAGGCAGAGATGGAGAACGTGCTGGATAGACTGCCTGGAACAGGGAGATCCTGCCTTAAATGCACAAGGGGCAGAGGTCAGGGAAGACAGCTGCAAACATGTGAACTCCACAGCACACAGGGCTCAGCATGAGGTAAGAGGAAAGACAGGACAGCGCCAGCTCTGGGAGGGGCAGAGGCACATTTCTCCTGTGGCGGAGGGCAGTGCATCCTCAGCTTGAGGTATGGGAGGCAGGGGTGTGGGGCACACCTCATTTTCAGCTTGACACACACCAGGGCCGGCGGCTGGGAGCTCTCCTGGAGCTCTCAGTCTTTTTGGCAACTGCACCCTACCATGATCAGTATCTCAGGCTACCCCATACGCACCGAGAGTTAAGACCCTTGCCACAGCACTGCCAGGGAAAGAGAAGTTACCAACACACCCAATGACCGACAAGTGCTCAGGGCTAGCGGCGGAACGTACTGTAGCTTTTCAAAAGGGCCTCTGAGCATTAATGATTGGGAAAATAGCCAGGGTTACAATCAGAGGGAAAATGAGAAGACACTGCTTTCTTATACAGGAGTGACAGCTTTCATTCCAACGACCTCTGCAGACATCCTGAGCACCCAGC